CCTGCTGAAAGGGAGATACCAAAAGTATATCAGAGAGGAGCTGCATATGAGAAAAATTCAAGCATGGATCAGGCCTTATCTGTTCCAGTGCTGTAAAAACTGCAGTAATGAGTAATTTTAAATCTTCTAGAATGCATGGCTTAGACTAACCAATAACACACCCTTTTGCCAGAAAATCGGGAACAAAAGTACAGCATCATGTTAACACTCGATGTACTGAATTACTGTACTAGCAAGCTTACCTATGTGCCACACTTCCCTCCTGGATTTCCTGAACAAATATTCCCAGTTCTCCCCTGTTTTCACTCTTCAGGCCCACAACACTGAAGCCCAGACCACCACTTAGGGGCTTAGTAAGCTCAATGGTCTCAACAGGACGACCCTGTTCAGCAGAGGAAAGAAAAGGGTACAAATATGCAAAATCTTGAAAAGTAGCATGAGAGTGTAAATGGGTTTCACTTTGACTGCTACAGCTGCACAGGACTACACAAGCTAATAACTGAAATGTAGTTGTTCAGTTTTGATTTCTTAGTATGACACAGAAGCTGAAAATACAAGATTTGAGAAATAAAAATTATTGCAAACCTGAGGAATTGAAGATTAGGAAAAAATAATTGCTACAATTATTAGCAATTGTATTTGCTTCATACAAAAGTGTGAGCTCAGAGGTGGCTAATGCAGGACTCATATATCTACCTACTTTTAGAGGGTACTGCATAGCTTTGAAGAAGAACTAGAAAAAAGAGGATGAATATAGAAAAATGGGAAATACAGGACTATGTAGAAGTTCTTCAAGGAGAATGGCAGAAGACCTCCTACATCTTTTAAAAGTTAACTATAAAAAAGCTAGATTACAATCCAGGCCAAAACTGGTCCCAGAAACTAAAGGGCCTTGTACACAATTTTGGCTCACCATGGGGAATGCTTTTAAGATTAGAGAACAAGGTGCAAAAAGGCAAAAAAAAATCCATCTTTTTTGATATCGAATATCAAAACATGATTTTAATTAATTACACAATCAAAAACATGTTACGACAAACAATCCCCTCATGCATGACAGTGTCCTACGCACAAGCGTAGCGGGAAACATACTACATGTGGTGTGCAGTCCTGAGATGACCTGCTAAGAACACTAACGAGTGTCAATGTCAAGGAGATTTTTCCAAGACCATTTTCTCCTTTAACAATTGTTCTTAAAATTAAAAGGCTAATTTTGTTTCATATAGCAAAAGAGTTGTGGTATTCTTAATAACTCAATTCCCTTAAATTAAGTAGACATGTATTTTAATCTGCCAGATAAACAATGATTCTCATCCATGGTTACCAGAAGACAGTTACCTGGGACATATTCCTGATCAGCTGCTCAAAGTCGTCGCTAGAGGGTTTCCCATTAATCTGAGGAGTGACGGATCTCACGGACGTCTCCAGCATGTTAGCTGGGCTGCCATTCTGCTGAGCCAGCAGGTACGACTCATTATGCAGTGAGGAACCTGCACTCACTCCGTGATGGAGAAGCTGTGGGAACTCACCACTGGTATGGATGGAAGGTGTAATATTTACCTGGAAAAAAATGATTTGTACTCTGGAGGAACCTTACCAATTTTATAGAAAACAAAGGCTCCATTAAAATTTCACTGATCATAGTTTCTGCACCACTATATACAACCCCAGCCACTGGGAATCTCTGTGGAGTTCAACAACAGAAAATAATATAAATCTCCAACTTATCCATTTCCAACCAGGGCCCTGATGACCCATCCAAAGCAGTGTTTGGGAGTAGGAGAATGGAGACAGTGCTAAATACAAATGAATAAACCTTGGGAGAAGCAAAAATCTGTTGTCTCACTGCTTGTAGACTGTCAATGCAAAATACTTTCTTACATATCAATCTGTCTCTTATTTGACTAGCAAAATATTTCAGTTTAAGATTATGACAGTGTGGTACTAAATACTTTTAATATTCATCTTTCCATTCTTCAATAAGGAAAACAGGAATTCTCCTTCCTCAAAACTTTATCTTTAAATTTCAAAAAAAAAAAATCCATAAGCAATTTTAAAATTACTTTCTAACCTTGATTTGCACTAAATGACTAGTGCATCAATTTCAATTTTTTAAGTATGTCACTTTTGTTAAATTAATTATATAATTCTGCTAAAACTATTGTCATGAAAAAGTCACTATTGTATTTATACAACTCATTCTCAGCCTAGGTGCTTTAAAAAAAACAAAACAGAATAAATATCATTTTTTAAATATCCTTACCTTAAAATACATATCACTGTCATGTTCCTCACTAAAAACATTTTTGATGGATCAAACAGTTACTAAATATTTGATTACACCACTAAAATTAGCAGGATTCACTGTTTGCTTCTGCTTAAAAATACTTACAGTTCCAAGGCATGTTGAAGTGGCCTCTAAGACTCAAACCCAAATTGTTTTTACATGTTTTACATTGTTTACAACAACATTTACATTTACAACACATTGTTTTACATGTCGCCTTTGTTCAAAGGCATTGTACCTACGTATCAGGTATTACAGATGTTATAAAGTCAGAAAGAGAGATTCCTTTTCTAAATCATTATGCTCATTGTAGAAAGCAGCACCAAGCCACTCCTCCTCTTGCCAAGGCTCTTACTGGTTGCAATATTGTTGAAAAGAAATGCTGCATATTTCACACAAAAGGAAAAGGCACTCTCCAATCTACAGCAGTTGAAGTAGACCTTTAAATGCTTCATCTCAGAATTGCAATAACACTGAACACAGGATACCTAGAATGTAGTGGGACATAACAGGTCTTCTGTACTAATTGATAGTGGATTCATTCAGAGTACAGCTGTTTTTAAGGAAGTAGTGCTAAACGATCAATAGAAAACAGGCTTAATACCAAAATCCAACCTGACATGAACTGACTTCTGATTTGTTATCGAAACTCTTAAAAAAAAAAAAGGCAAACTTTTAAGAGAATAAAGTGCTTCTTATCTGCGTGTGCAAAAACATTTATCTCAGATTAATATTCCCTTTCCTCCCCTCGCCAAGAAACACACTTTCAAAATGCTGCTGTTTTATAGTGACATTTGTAATGAACTCAAGGTCAGGATTTTCAAATTCCCAGACGAACTGGAAAAGGTCATGAACTCTCTCTCCTTTTAATTCCCCATCCCTCCGATTCCCCAAATCCTGGTTCCTAGCAGGGAAACTTGGAGCAGATCTGGTGTGTACTATTACTAATCAGACTAGGATAGGTCATTCCTGAGAGAAGAATAACCACAAGTGGAAATCTTAGAAAGATGAGGCTCTTGTGGTTGCAAAAAGAATTCTTCATAACATATAAATGCACAACTTGGCAGTAATAAAATCACTATAATTCCAGCATGAAAGTGCTTCATAGCACTGTGATTATATAAGTACTGCATGAAAGAATATTACTTTGTTCTGTAATTTGGCTTATGCTAATTTGCCTTGGTTGACTTTCACTTTACTGTATGTAACATCTGCAATATTGGCATAATTTGGCATAAAGCGAGACGAAGATTCACTGATACCACAGAGGATGATAAAACTTATGCTACAGACAAACAGTTAGATGCTAAATGCAATCAAGTAGTGCTCACATGTAGTTGTTTAAGGTGTTTTTAATAATAATTAAAAAAAACCCCACTGTTCTGTGGCATGCCATTATTTAAAGGAGCAGAATCAACATTTTTAGGTCTCAGCATTCAAAAGAACAAATTCTCAGTGCTTCTGCGTTTTAGGCTTTGAGTCACTGCCTTATAAGATCACTCGCAACGCGAGGCAACATTTCACCCGATATTTGGGTGGGATGAGCAACAAGAAGGTCTCCACATCAGTGGTAACAAAAACAGTAGTAACAAAGCGCAGTTCGGCGCCTGTGAAAGCCCTGCAGGGGGAGGCGGAGAGTGAGGAATTTCCCGAGAAGCCCCTTGGCAGGAGGCTCCCGCCCCTCCCCCCGAATTCCTCTTTTTAGGAGAAAAAGCAGCAATCGGCTTTCCGGAGGACCTCCCGCGCCCTGGCAACCTCCAAAGCAGCTCTGAGAAGGGGAATCAAGCACATCCCAAATTAGTGTTTTTTTGTTTTGTCTTTATGAGCACAGAAAATACTTTGTTCCAAAAGAGAGAAGAGGTACCGTTTTTGTAGAAAGGCAGTCAAAATAATAACAACCAAAGGTTGCCATTTACTTGTGCAAATCACAAATTAGAGGGCAAGTTGCAGATAGCACAAAAGATAAAATTTCTCCACTTTGCATCTTTCCCAGATTTGCTTTGCGCTGTGGAGTTATCACCGAGCTATCACATGTGATCCAGTATGCGGCTGCACTGCAGGGAGGGTGCTTTTCCATTCCTTCATTGTGTGGAAATAATCAGGGTCAAACTCTCAAGGAAAAAAATCTGAGGAATGTAGCCCAGCCAAGGAAAGGATTTTTTTTGTTTTGGAAGGGCCCTGAGTTGAGCGGAGGAGGAGCCGGATAAGTGAGAGGCAGAAAGGAAAGGAAGTAAGAGACAGAGAAGGCTTGCTACTGCTGCCTGAATATCATTATTTTGTTTGAAAAAGAAAACATTAATTAGACATTCGAAAAGCTCAAAACATCACTATTTCTATTTTTATTTTGTACTGCTCCCTTATTGTCAAACACTGAGCTTGCTCTTCAGCATCACAAAAAAAAAAAAAAAACACTTATGAAAAGCTAAAGATATTAAGAGGCAGAAAAAAAAGTCTGGTTACTTTGCTGCTTCTCAGTTCAAGCAACTGATGAAGTCATGACAGCATTTCTCAAAAAAAAACCAAAAAACCAAAGCAAAACAAAACAAAAAAACTCCCATTCAGTATGTTCATGTTCTAGAGCTTTCCTACTCAAACTAGCTAACTTCACAATGGCAGATTTGCACTGTAAACAAACATTGTCTGCCTGTTTAAGGAAAAGTCTTTAAAGCACGTATAAATAAGCATCAAAGCATCAGATTAAAAGTCAGCATGCCTCATCGACATTCAGATGAAGCAGCAGCCAGTAAGTCCGCACCACTGTGCATACCAGAGATCAAAACTCAGGAGATTCCTGGTAAGCACACACCAGCACTGAAAGGGATCAGTTTCCAATTAACATATAGAAGGTTTAAGAAAAGCAGGGGGCATATGCAAAAACACCACCACTAAAGGAGAAATACACGCTTCTTCAGATCTTCACACAGTGCTTAAAGAGCCACTTATCTGTAGGGAATCAAAAAACAGGTAGTCTAATACATTAGATCATAAAATAAGGTACCAATTGTTACAGGAATGCAAACAGTATGTCTGCGAGAAAACTAGACATTTATATTCTGGGCTTTTGGGGGATCTTTTTGGCCAGGAAAACACAGCAGACAAATATTAGATATCCCAACGCATTTTCCAGACTCATTGCGAAAAAGAGAAGCTATCATCTCCATGCTTGCTGTGTATGGCCACTCCACATGGTATTACCAGGAGATAACACTCCAGTTCACAGATGAAGCCACTACACATCCATAAACAGGTCCCATTTTGTGACCTACTTCTGTTTTGGTGCCTGGAACAAATGAGCAGGATTCAGAAATAAATTGCAACTGTTGCTCTTCTGCTTCCATCCTCTCTTCTAGCCCAATCTCTCCTAAAAGTTGACCCTCTCCTGAGTTTGCAAGACTGCTCTTTCAAATTTCACAAGCAATTAAAGCCTAATGAACAACTTATTAAGCTGTCACTTACATTTAGCTCTGAAAGGAAAGAGACTCCACTAAAACTTTCAGTCCAGATCACTGTCAAATGCCAAAATCAAATGCCAAAATATATTTAGCTACCTTGGTCTCTAATGAGGGCAGTACTATCCCCTCACGCCAAGCCACTTCACAGGTCGGCACCATTTGAGGTCACATCCAACACCAAATGCTTGGGAAACAACTTGTCTCCTTCCTCAGTCTGGCAGAGCTTGGCCAAAATGCCGGATCACCCTTCACGTACCTTGCCTTGCAACTTTCACTAACCACTAATGTAAGAGTTTCGGAAGCACAAACCCAACAAATCAACCAAAAAGAGAAAAATAAAGAGTGGCCTTGACCTAAACGAAGCCTCTGAAAATACCAGAAATTGAATTTAAGCTTTTTTGTTATTATTTACTGCCTATTTTCTTATTTTCATCTTTGTCCTGTTTCAATAGTGTTCTTTAAAAATGCTGAAATAAATCAAGGAGGAAATAGGTAAGACTGTAATCTAAAACCCAGGAAAAAAATGGTCCTACAGAGATGCCATGTGCTCCTTGCTAAAGAGCTAATATGAATCTAGGAATACGCAGGCACAAACATCTGCACGTGTCAGAATTCATACTAGCACACATCAGGATACCCAAAGTTCCTGTGCAGATAGACTGGGCAGGTTATCACCCAATCCCTAAAGCTACTGCACAGTGGTATCTGATAACTCTTGCTGGAAATTTACTTGCTTCACTTTATGGTTTTGGTGGCCGAATTCAAGCAGGGAGGTTTCCCTTAACTTCACAGCTAATACCTAGTACTGAGAATTTAATTTACATTTTCAGCAAATTCTAGGTAAAGCTTCAGGCACAGCTTAACTTCTGAGCGTGTGTTCCCAGAGCCATAAACCACATCACTCACTGTAAATTTAGATTCTCCTTTTCATATAGTACAAGGAACTTTTTCCCTATAATTTTTAATCACTCCAATCACTTCAAGTGACCCGGTCTCTACACAGCAAACACCAAAATTTGAAAAATCACAGTGATGGATGGAACCCTAAACGGCATTCCGGTGTATTTCTTGCCTGCGCACAACAGCATCAAGATGATAAACAAGGAACATTGGAGATCCAGACTGCGTTTCCCTGCTGCAGTCACCCCCGGAGTGCCAGCACTTTCCACCAGCAGCGAATGCTGCCAGGGACGAGCGGCTGCTGGGGCGGACGGTGAGGCCAGGCCGCAGGCTGCCTCCTCGCACCGCAGCGCTTCTGCCCACCGGGCACCACGCTGCCGTCCTACTGCCGGCGACAGCTACAGCGACGGGCGCTGCCGGCTGCGCAGCCCGCTCCTAACGTGGGATCTGCACTGCTTTCTAACAGTCAAGCTCCTGTTCTGGTGCAAGCACGTAAAGTAATAGCAACAACTGAATCTTTAAAAGAAAAATGTCCCTTTTCTCACCCTCACTGGGGACACGCAGAGAAGCTACACTCTATATCCCAAGCAAGGGTTGGAATATAGTGTCCCAGTAGGAGTTTTGTGTTGCCTTTAATCACTTATTTCTAAATAACAATAACAACAACAATAATAATAATTAAAATAATGAATCCTTATTTCCTATGGAGTCCATACCACCAGAACAATTTTCTTTGCATATTTTCATTCTTTTTCAGGTTAAGATGCAGAAGAGCAGGTTCCTAGAAGAAAAGTCTTCAGACCACATCTGAAGTATGTCTTCTTTCTTTCTTTACAAAGAGCAGAGACAGCCCTATGTTAACCCTCCTCCGAATACCACCATTTCCACACCGCACACATCAGTAAGTAACAGGCGTGTACATTAAAAAATGCATAAACGCTGTGGGCTCCAGCACAGCCCAGAAAAGTCAGTGGGCGTCTCTCCTGCGGTTCCCTGAGTCTCTGGCTCAGCCCCTCACTTAAGCTGCTTAACTTCACTATTCAGCATGCACACAGGGAGACACATACGTTTGGCAGCTTCTTATCAGCTTCCCCCTACACCCAGAGAGGGATTTTCCTACCTGCTCTCTGAGCTGCTGGACCGAGGTCTGCAGGTGGAGAATCTGGCTGAAGAGGGGACTCTGCAGCACCGACCTCAGCAGGCCCAGCTTCTCCTCATGGGCAACGTCACCCCGCTCACGAAGCTTCGCCTGCAAGCGCTCCACAGCCTGCAGCGCCCGATGCGGATCTGCGGAGACATCCATGCCCCGTGAGCCCCAAACCACAAACATTCACACAATGCAGGGGCTCAGCACACCACCCAGGTTCTCTGCAGCTTGGGACTAACTGCAGAGAACCTGGATGCCTCAAACCCCAGCCCAAACAGTATGTCTCAATTTTTCGGAAAGTCATGGGCAAAGCACAAAAGTCCAGCTACATTCTTGCCTGTTAGGAACTGGGCTACAAATGTGAAAGAAGCTTCATTAAAATTTCGTTGCAGGAACTGTGGCTGCAGGCAACAGTAAACGAAAAGTGAGAGACACCCCCAGTGAAAAAAAGAAAAGACTTTTTCATACAAACTGTTTTAATTCTATTAAAAATTAATCTAATGAAATCAAGGCAATAGGCTATAAATTAATACACTAAACATGACAGTGCCCCTTTATACTTTTTCAATATAAAATGCAAAAATAAAACATATTTCTAAGCACAGCAGCTATTTTTGAAAACACGTATTTCAACTGTGTACAGCAATGTCCTAAATCTATCATGCACACTTAATTTGGTCACAAAAATAGACTTATAAATATTAAAAAATATATCACCAATTGTTTCCAACATGTTTTCTGCTTCTCAGCTTCTCTTCCAAAAGGATAAAAGACAGCTAATGCAGTATTTCCCTGAAAAAAACAACAGATAAGGAAAAAGGTCACATTCACTGAATCCTAAATATTAAGCTTTGAAGGAGAAAAAAAACAACTTCTCAAAACAAGGAAAAAAAAGTACAAAACCCCAGCTTCCCTGGATAATTAAAATAACCCCACAATTGACCCTATCTTTGGAGCTTAAGCCCTGTCTACAAATTGTTTTAAGGAATGTATTCTGTAATATTTTTCACATTTCCATATCAAAGATGCTGTCTGTATAAAGTTGCACAAACTGCCCTTCATTTCTTTTATGAGAAGCTATGAATCACAGCTGCCACTAGTACTTTACACTGTTTCATTCCTTCACTTTTCAATGATTCATAACAACATTCCCTATGGGAACCATTTTCAAGACCTATGTTGACAATTTCAAGTACATTTCTAAGTGCAAATGTAATAGCTTCAGAATGAGTCACAGCACATTTTTGAAGTCACCTTTTAAGAAAAAGATTCACTTAAGTCACTAAGTCTTAATGCCACACAGGCTTGCAGGACACAGGCACTACAGCTTATTAACACACCAATTTTAAGAGTAGGCTCGCAAACACAGATAATTTTTATGAAGACCCAGATAACAGATCCAGCAGGATATAAATTCCACACATGACGGAAATAAGGAATCTAAATTTTGGTGTGTAGGGTTTGTTTTATTTTTTATTTTCATTGTCTCTTGGGAGTCTCTAAGAAGTCTAGAGTGTTAAAAAGCATCTGATGCAGATGGGTAACTGGGAGGAAAAAAAAAAAAAAAACAGTGAGGAGACCAAAGTCCATCACAGATTTCTAATTTGAACTGCGCATTTTATCTTATATCTTTTGCAATAGTACTTATATATACTCTTGATAATAGCAAACAAGTTTAATATACCAACCCAATATCTGGTGAGCTTATCATTGAACAAAGAGCTAAGACCTCTTACTCAGGAAGAGTAAGCTTTTACTGAAACTCAGGAGATAAAGAGACAAAAGATGGTGTTGGCAGATAACTGCATAAGAGACCCAAGGAGAACTCAAAAGGACCATTAGTCACACAGTCTCAACACAACAAGAATGCATCAATCCCCACAACAAATTTGAGGAAAAAAAATAGCTGAAAAAACATTCACTTGGAAGGATCACAAACCAGGCTGAATAATAATCTACATTATCTGTAGTTAGCCCAGAAAACTCAAATTAAATGAATTTAAAATTGCTTTTAGTTTCACTGACAAAATGTCTACAGTTTCAGTATGTCTAAAGTTTGATACCATTTTATTTCATTGCATCATTCAGATACACTGACATTGTAAGTATCTGCATTATGCAGATACATCGACACAGAGCCACTGAGGATCCTTTTATCAGAATCTACCACCTTGGGACAGGGAAGAAATTCAATCCCTTGGAGCAACCTTGTTAAAGTAACCTTATTCCACGATCTAAATTACACAATCATACATGCCAGTAAAAAAATACATGTAAATGCAGTGATAAATAAAACAAGCTTTTATTAATTTGTGTTCTCACTTGGCAAGGTAAGTGCCAGAATTTGATTACCAGATCCAAAAATCAGGCCTAAGAACACACTGTGGTTTTACTTTGCAGCCTACAAAAACAAGACAAAAATATCTATGTCATAAGAAAATGCTTGGCTTTTTAAGATTACAAAGGAAGGTTATTCCTTATCAATATACCACAATCATATCTTTTATTGAGAATTCCTATTTACTAACGGTGGCATTTATGCCAATGGCTGTTTTTCTCAGTGCAGTGCCAGCTAAAGAAATTATTTCCTGAAGCTCCTTCTCTCTACTAGGGGGCTGTATAACGAAAGTAATTAAAAAAAAAAAAAAAGAAGATGGACTTTTAAGTCCTTTCAATCTCAGAATCCTGTTCATCATGCATAGCACAGGCACAAGGACAAGCAATTGGCAGAAATGACTGTAGAAATGGGCATCAGATCTTCAGCTCTACCTTTCAAAGAACTGAGCAGGAAAAATAAAAAATATAGGGCTCTTACTGTTTTGCTCCAGATTCTGACTAC